GGAAGGCGATGGGAGACGCTGTCTGGGCCCCTGGAAATGGGCGGCACGGCACACTGCGGAGCAATGCCCCCCGCCTCCTCTGTCACGCTCAGCTCCTCACAAGAGATGAATCAAACCTCGAAATCTAAGAAAGGGGTCCGCAGCTTTGCCCCGGCAGCGATGCTTCGGACGTGGTGTGTATCGTTAATCTGTTTTTATCTGGAAGTTACTTATCTGCTGCTGGGCATCCTGTTTTTTTCCTCGCCCGAACTAGCGGCACATGTTGATAGTGATTTTCTAAGAATTCCTCCCAATACCACATCTCTCCCGGGTGGTCGAAGACACCTCTGAGCTTCTTGCTCGATCGCGCCCTTTCGGCCGCGTCTCCGACCGGACGCACCCTCGGGTACCATCTTCGGGTACCGGCAACGGCGGCTGCGATGGGAAGGGGCAGGAAACCGGTGACAGTTAGGTCGGTTACAACGCTAATGAAACGCATTGATGTTTAATGATTTTAAAAAAAAAAAAACGAAATATTTAATTTTTTCCTGGGAAGCAACTCTTGATTGCGCGTTGTGCTGTTACGTGCAAGGAATGGGACCACGGGCTTAAGCAAAGGCGGCTGCTTTTCGTGGCTGTGCGGGGGATATAAAACATGAACACACACACACACACACCCCCCGCCATTGCGCAGGTCCTGCGGTTTGAATGAATACCGGTGGCCGCAGCGACGTCCCCCGCGCAGGTTTGGGCGGGCGTCCCTCGAATAACCCTCCTCTCCCCTTTCTCTCCCCAGCGGGCGCCAAAGCCCTGGTCTGCGATCAGTGCGGCGCCCAGTTCTCGAAGGAAGACGCCCTGGAGACGCACCGGCAGACGCACACCGGTACGTGGCCCTCCCTTTCCCTCCTTCGCTTAGGCGCAAGTTTAATATTTAGGCTGCCTTGGTAACCTTTTGCCCAACGGAGAGCTTAACCCTTTGCGGTTCCCGCTTCTGACCTGCCCGGGTCCGTTTCTCGACTTTAATTTGGTTAAGGTAAGTCGGCTGCGTTTTCTGCTGAACTCTCAGTGGGAAATGGTTCTGTACTTGTGTTGAAATCCGTGCCTGGCATTTGCAAAGGGAAACCTCCCCAAATGGCTTTTGGTTTTGGATATTTGCTGCTGGCTTATTTCGGTCTGTTTTTGCTGAGCTCGTAACGGTGATGTTGGTGGAAGGAGGAGAGCACAACCCGCCTCTGCGGTTAAACCGACCGTCCTTGCACCGCTCGCTGGTCACCCTTGGTTTCTCAAGCCGTGCGCACCAAAATTTGACCAGCATGACAGCGCTTGGCTGCCATTTCAGGTTTAAGGGAAGCTTCCCAAGGGATAAATACCCTTGTCAGGAGCGTTTGGATGCTCGGGAGCCCAAGAGCGATGAGTTACAAATCATTTGCAAATCCCAGCCTATGCTGATAGTGGTGTTCCCGTTTTTTCAAAGCATTTATAGGGATAGTTGTGTTGCGTCTGGAGCTCTGGGGCGGTTCCGTTGCGCTGCTGCCAGGTGTGTGCACGGGTGCAAGCGTCCGCTGGGCGGTCAGACTGTGCAGTGGGCGTGCAGCTGCTCGTAGGAAAGGATGCTCGGGGACCTGGGAGCCGAGGACAGGGCTTTGTGGAGGGCTGGACCCAGCTGTGCACAGAAAACCTCTTTCCCCTGTGCTCATATGTCTTTAAGACCCTGACCGGAGCGCTTGCTGTGGCCGAGCCTTCCCTGGCTCTGCGGCTTGGGCAACGAATTCTGCATCTTGGCACCTGTGCTTTGCAGGAGCGAGGTAGCCCCAGCTCCTCTTCCACTAGAACACGGGTACGAGGCAGCAGTTCGCACAGCGCCATTGCATTTATTGCTCAGCGTTAACGCGTGCACGTGAGAAACGGTGGCGCAGGAAATGCAAGGTAATTTGTTCCCTCTGCCAGCAAAACACCGGCCCTTTCCGAGCGGCTCTCAGCAGTTGGCTTCTGCCACGTTTCTGCTATCGCACTTCCCAGCCCCTCGGCGTAGCTGCCGTCGGGGAGCACAAGGAGCTCTTTATGCATCTTGCAAAGGCTGCCTTGCCTAGGAAGGGTTTGCTACGGGGCACGGGGGGAATTCGCGGCCGGGCGGTCCCAGGTGGAGCCTTTCAGACCCCCAGAAACAGGCTGGAGCAGGGAAAAGCGCCTGCTCCTCCCCGTGCTATATTAGGAGCGGTTTAACCGAGCACAAGCTCGTCTTTCAGCGCTGAAAACCCTGATAAATGTCGCTAATGGCCGAGCTTGCGCTCGGAGGTGGCAAGGCGACGCGTGGGCCCTGGGCTGGCACGGAGAGCCCGGCCGGTTTCACGCCGGGGGTTTGAGGACCGACCGGCGATGCAGAGTGCTGTGTCACCGGGCGGGAATAGCTCCGGCCGTCATCCGATCTGGGAGCTTGGGCTGGCCGAGCACCAGTTCCTAAATTGTAAAGTAATTGCCCTCCTTATCCCGGAGTCGTTCGGCTGGAGGCCGGACTTTTCAAACCACGGTCTTTTTTAAAAACCGCGTGCGCTGTAGGGTAAGGAGGAGGAAAAGGCTTGCGACGGGGCAGCCAGCGAAGCCGAGGGACTGACTCTGCGCGAGGGATGAGCGACCCCAGCCCAGGCAGGGAGTTAAAGGCGGCTGAGCAAACAGCAGCTACCTCCCGGTTTCCTTACGTATCCTGCACCCGTTGAGCTTCCCAGGGCGGTGGGTGGGAGCCTGGCTCCCCTCGGTACCCGGGGCTCCGTCACCCCAGGCGTGACATCAGGAGGGGATGCCGTTGAGCGGCTATTTAACGACGCCTGCACCCAAAAGCGCCCCGCGGATGCAGAGCGGCTACACGGTTTTGCTAACGACCTTGACGCTTCTGCAGGGATTAAAGCCCCTTTGGTTGCTGAAACCCGGGGGCTGGACCGCGCCGAAGCTCAAAGGGCAACAGGAAAACGGAGCGCGGGGGACGCGGTGACCCAAGCGGAGCGGGTTTATCATCCCCGCCTCCAGCTGTAAACACGAGCGGCTCGGTTACGTGGCGGAGAGGGGCTGGGTGGCCAGGGCAGCCGAAATGAATCGCTTCCTCTCCTCGGGTGGTAATGCAGAGCGCCCTGCCCTGGCATGGAAAGCATCCCTCCCCTGCCGTCGCTATAATTAACCCCGTTCCCAGATAATGGCAACTCCCAGAACGGATTTTTTTGGGGTGTCCTCCCTTCATCCTTAGCGGCAGGTTGGTTGGCGAAAGACCTGCCAACTTTCCAGACAGAAAAATAGCCCTTTTTGGTAGATGCGCAGGTAGATTCCTTCAAGGGTGGTATCAAAAACCGAGCAGGGTGTATCTGGTACAGGCTGACCAAACGTACCCACTTTGCTCAAAAACACGGTGTTTAGGGGAGGATGCGGGACCCGTCTGCAAACAGTCGCTGGCTTGTCCGGATGACCGACAGCTTGAGAGCCTTTCTGCAACGGGTGGCCAAGATAAAGGGTTTTCGGAGTTTCTTTTCAGCATATGGGGCTGTTTCTTGGGTGAACGGTCAGGATCCAGGACCCCCCCCCTTTTTCTCGCTTGTTTTTTTTTTTTCCCGTTGCCCTCACTGCTCCTCTGAACGACCGCGCAAAATACGACGCCAGCCCGGTGTACATGTGCTGCATCGAACGCTGCCCGCCTCTCACGGCAGAAAACCTACGCCCTGCTTTCTGACGCAAGGTAAAAAAATAATAAGAAGAAGGAAAGAAAGCGAGAAAAAAGAGTTTCTGCTTGTAAGCACAGGGCTGGCTGTGTGCTGTGTACAGCCCGGCCGACTCGGGACTGAGACGCCCTCTCCGGGTGTTCACTGTCCTTGGCCCCCGTCCCGCGGCAATAGGAAAAGCAGCAACTGTTTTGGCTCATCTTCCAGCAGGGCAAGCTCGGTGCCACGCTGGAGGCAGAGCGTGGAAAATTCCTTGCCCTTCTCCTAAAACGTAGAGGAAAAAACAAAACGCGTCGAGGAGACAGCCCAAGGACCCCCAGCGAGCGCCGGTGGGGCTCGGGATGCTCGCACGGCTGGTGTTTGTGCTAACAGGGTTCGGGCTCGCCGCCCGCTTTTATAAATATCAGAGGTGACTCGTCTTGAGTTTCCTCCCGTGTGCCAAGGCAATTAACGCGTGCGAGCGTGTACGCGCTGGGCAGCCGGTGTCAGTCAGCGGGCCAGCATGGATTTACTCCTGACCCAGTTTCACGTGGGCATGCTCGACGCCTAATATAGAGTGTATTTTCTTCGCCGCGCAGTCGGCTCCTTGATTTGCGGGGTCGGCGTGCCCCCGGCCGCTCCGCGGAGGATGCGCGGGAGCCTTCGCCCTCCCCTGCCTGCACCCCTCGCATCCCCCGGCTGGCGATGCCGGCACCGGGACGCAAGTAGCAGAAAATAAAACCAACGTGTAACTGAAAATTGAAAAGCTATAAATCTGACCCCCCCCCCCTTTTTTTTCTTTTTTTTTTTTTCTTGGGATGTTGGTAAAGTTTTGATTTAATAGTTGGCCAAACACAAGGGTCTATTTTATTCAGAGTTTACAGGCCTCAGGGCTGTTATTCCTCCAAATTTAATAGCATTGAAATTGCAGGGTTGGCGATAATTTGCCTATCACTTTCTGCTCTCCCATTGATGTTTATTGTCAGCGGGATGGAATCTCAATCCGATTCACTTAGATAACATGTCTGTTAAACATTTAGATAATTGTGCCATCATTAACTTGTCACATTATTTTAGAGATTCAAAACAGTCATGCGGTATAAGCAGAGGTACAAAGGGAGAAAAATTCGGCGCACGAGAGCAAGAACCCAGGGGAGGAGGCGTCGGTGGCGGTGGGATGCCTCCGCGCCGGGTCCTATGGGAAGCGTCGCCCAGCGGCTGCTCGGGGAGCTCAGCCTTCCTCTCTGTCTCTGCAGAGCTGTAACAGCTTTTTTCCCCCAAAAAAAAATTCCGCTCCTGTTCTAAACGCACACTGAGGTTCACAGTGATTTTTTTTTTTATTATTTCTTTCTAAATACCAGAGCACTTGGCGTTTTTCTGTTAAAGAGCATCCCAGAAACCCCATTAGTGGCTTGGGTTGGCAAGGGGGATGTGTGGGAGCCTGGAAGAGGTGGAGGGGGGACCGCGCTGGAGCTGCGCTGTCACACGGGCACACGCCGTCTCTCTCGGTTCTCGGTAAATTTACATTTAGTCCAATGAATTACATATTTGTCTTACCTCCTTTCTTTTGCTTCACTTTCTCTGCCTCAAAATGGTACCCGCCTAAAAAATATCAGTGATGTTACGGCCGTACGTTGCACTATTTTTTCCGGTGTTGGAAATTAAGGATTTCGAGCAAGCGGAACGTAACATGCAAGTTTGGTGACATGAGCCATAAATTACGTTGAAAC